CGGCTGGCTCGGGACAAACCGGGCCACGGTCGCCGCGCTGGCAGAACTGGGAATGGGCCCGAGGGTAAACCCCGGGCAAGGCCCCCTGCCTCTAGGTGTTATGGCCTCTAATGCTGCCACTCGTGCACGGCCGCTAAGGTGTCAAGATAATGTGAGGAAATTTCTTTTAAACTTTCTCAGCTAGCTTGCTTTCAGTCCAGAGTCATGGTTGCTTAATGGCTGGTGACTCATCATGAGCACCTTATTTCCTCGAAGTTTAAGTCCCACGTTCTGGCGTTCTGGTCGGTGGAGGCAGCGTGGACGTGATTCCGTGTGATAACCTACCTATGGAGCCCAAAGTGCAAAGAAGACATCAAGTCTTAAGTGCCTCAGCCTGGTACCAACCTTACTGAAAACTTCATTTTTTGTTTCTTTGTGCTCAACCTCTGTCATCTGTAAAATAAACAAATCCCTTCTCTCCACTCGTGGTGGTGTGAAAACAAGATCATTAATAACAGACTCAGACAGCAGTAGTGTTTGTTTATCGTTGGAAATCACCCAAGAGAACTAATAATTGGTTTTGAGCAGGTTGGACTAGTTAGTGCTCTGTAAAACAGGCTGGCATATACAAGCCAAATGGCAAAGATAAAAAATGAACTAAACGACTGTGTGCTGGGCACGCTTTCAGGTCATGTGCTCAGTAAGTGGGGAAAGGCCCTGCACTGGCTAATTAATTAAAGACAGCCTCAGCACCAAAGCTGTGTAATGGAGCCGGCCTCATTCTACCTTGTTAACATAATGGCAGATACGGAAGAAAAGAGATACCCAAGAAAAATGCACAGAGGCTTAGAGAAACCACTCCCAGGGCAGGATCCACTCCCCTCCCAGCTGACAACCGGAGGCTGGAAGAAAACGGGAAGGTTGAGCTTTTATCTGCCCTTTGCTTTCTCTTGCACAGGAATCCGCTGCCAGAAGTGGAGGCTGAGCACCGCACAGCTTCATCCTGATCCACTGCAGGCTCCAGCTCTCCCAGGGGAGGGTTCTGGGGTATACAGGGAGCTTCCCAGAAAACACCAAGATGCTTCTGGCAGTGGTTTTACAAAGAAAATTACTGCACCCAAGATGCAGGATGGAACTAGTCCTGTGGAAAGGTGCTGGGACAAAATCAGTGCCCTGAGCAGCTTAGATCCACCTCAGCCCACGCTGTAGCTGAGCACTGGGCAAGGTCCCTGCTAGAGGAACAGAAATGGGGTATAATTCTTCCCTTTTGGCCAGGAGGAATAGAAGAGCGTGTACACATCTTAACTGGCTCCAGGCTTGCAGAGGAGTTGAGCAGCTGGGCAAGACCAGGACAGGGAGGAAGAAGGAGGGTTTCTGAGGTTCATGGTTTGCTGTGATGAGGTTCCTTCCCTGCCCAAGTGGTCCCCACGTGCTGAAAAGTACCGAGGACTGCATTAACTCACAATGTCTCATCATTTAGTCTTCTAGTTAAATTCTCTTTCCCATGACATTTCCTTCCCTGCCCAAATTCAGTCTGCAGGCAGTACGACTACAGGGAGGGGGGGGTGTGTGTGTGTTGAACCTGCTTTTTTTTGTGTGTTTTTTTGTCCACAGAAAGAGCAGTGAGCCTCCAGGAGCACCTGCCCTTCCTCTGGCAGTGCCCCTGGTGCTGCAGCATCTGTCAGACCCACGTAAGACTCGCCTTCACAGAGCTTCCAAAGGCAAGAGCTGCACAACCGGCCAGCCCGGCTTCTCTTCTGATCAGGGACCTCTGTTACCTTACACGTAATCACCCTGAGGTTTCCTCTAAGATGACAATCATTATGCTCAGAATAAAACTTGATAAAACTTGATAAAACTTGTTTTCAGTTCAACACTACCACGCATGCAAACACGTATCCGCAAATGGTGTTGCATCCTTCAGCCCCCACGTCCCTCAGTCACAGCTAAGGCTGTGTCAGGCTCTGCTTCCAGTCACCGAAATTAAACTCAGTGTAGCCAGTGGAAACCAGCTTCCAGCATCCCATTTAAATTGGCTGGCTTGGTGGGAAGCAGGGGCCAGAAAGGAAGAGCCAGGCCTCCAGACAGTGCCTCCAAGCTGAAGGAGGGCTGCACCCACACATCATCGCCTCAAAATAGACCCGGCTGCACCAGAGGCCACATAATGACACAGTGCGGGTACAGAGGGGAGGAAAATAGGAAAAGTATATTTAGCAAACCATTTCCTGTTCCCTCCTCTGAGAGCTAGGTATTCAAAACAAACACTGTGGGCAGATAAACTCTGGTCTTCAAAGCAGACAAGACGTTTCACAGAAGCACAAAAACACGTCAGGAGGAAGGGCCATCCAGAGGTCCCCAGCCCAGCCACCTCCTCCCAAGCACGTCCACTCAGAGCAGGATGCTCTGTGGAATTTGGAGTATCACCAGGTACTGAGATCTCACAGCCTCTCTGCAGCCTCCTTCCTTTGACCACCCTCTCTTGGCTGAAATTTCTTTATACTGAGTCAGAAGTTGCCGTGTTCCAACGGGGCCCTGTTGCGTCTCGTCCCATCTCTCTGCAGCTCTGAGGAGCCTGGCTCCACCTTCTCCACACCGGCCTGTTGGCAGCAGCGAGACCTCTCCTTAACCTCTTCTAAAGCCTGAACCACCTCCCTTATCTCAGCCTCACCTGGCAAGCCCTGTGCTCCATTTCCTAACACCTGCCAACAGCAGCAGGTACAGAAGCATCACCAAAAAGTCAGATGGGCAAAAAGTGAGTTAGGGAATGGAGTGAGCAAAGCAAACTGGTGGCAGGACCCACCCTGACATGGGAACCATGGTTAGACTGGGTGCAGTTTGGGAGCGCACGGCACCAGGAGATGCCATGGTGGGCACGGCACCGGCACGCTGTCTCTGCAAGGTGCGATTTTTAAGATTTCAGCAAAACTGGGAAGAGATGGGAAGAGCAGCTTGAGGTTAAGCAATGGGCTGGAGCTCAGGCAGGCACCAGGGTCAGGCTGGTCAGACCAGTAACGCTGGGCTCACGGCTCCAACAGCCAGAAACACCCAACACCCGCCGCTTCCCAGATGTCAAGACAGGGGACTCCACAGCACCCACGACTGACTGAACCTGATCTGCTCTGCACCACCTGGAAACACAGGGTTTTGCACAGAGACATCTCAGCAGCTTATCATGCAACTTGACCAGGGAAAGCTCAGTTTGACTGAGCTTCCTCCACGTGGAGCAGAAAGTACAGAAAAGCAGAGAAACTCCTTTCCCACCGTCACACAATGGTAATTTTCAGTTCCTGGGTTTGGTGTTCCCATGCTGGCTTTGGGACTCTTGCTTGGGAAGCCAAGCAGACAGGAGAAACTGTCCCAATCACACCGGACTTTCTCGCTACCTAACCACACCACACCTAGTCCAGAGCCGATGCTTCAAAACTGCCTCATGGATGCATCACAGGTTTCCTGTGTGACCCTGGGCAGGTCACTTCTCCCAGGCCTTCACCTCCCCCCGCCGTACAGAGACAGTGTCACGTTTAACTGAGGCACTTGGATGTTGAGAGAACCCCTGAAAAGAACCCTGTGTAAAGAACACCAACCAGAAAGAAGAGCCAACACACGCACATGTTCCCACCGACTCCACACGGCACATGAGGTCCACGGTGTTTATAACACATGTAGTACAGACAAGGTGATCTTTCTACTGATAGAGACAGAGAGGAGAAAGATACCAGAGATAAGTCTAGGAGGGTATTTGTGAAGAGTGTTCCCAAAGGATCTCAGGATGAACTTGCTTCCACTAGGAAGGATCAATTGTTTGCTCTCGGAAAGGCCACCCAAATACTGGGCAATACAGCTTCTAGGCCAGAAAAACCACAGATGGGACAGGCTGTGATTTGCTAAGCCACCTGATTTCAGCAGCTCTGTTTGTTGCAAGTTTGCTCCTTCTTCTTACCCTGATTCAGGGATCTTAGTCTTTCTTGCCCTATGCTGACCAGAGGGACAAGAAACAATGGAGCCATTGTCTTCAGTGCCTTGTAGCCATCGGTGGCTTCCAAGCAGTCCTCTGCCCAAGGATGGGAAGTGGAGATGAAAGCCATTCTCTCCCATATCCATCTACCTCCCCACAAGAGCTTTGGTCTTTTTCACCAGGATAAATTTCAGCACCGAGTCTGACAGCCCCAGCAGCAGCCTTCAGCCACACAGTGGCTCTACGCATTGTCACTCCGTCGTCTGGATGTAAACGGGGACAGCCAGCATGGTGCAGGGACCCTCTGAGGCCGTCTGCAGCTCTGCAAGGGCCAAATCGGACGCGATGCTGTTGGGCTGCCCAGGAACGACAAGGTCCGAGTCAGCAGCTCCCGACGCACCGACCACGATGGACAGGACCGCGTCCGACTCCTGGAACGGTTCTTTGTTCGGGCCGCCTTCGGGGGGACTCTCCCCAGCGGCACCATCCTTCAGTTCTGCCAGACCCAGCTGGCTGGGGAGGGAAAGGCCCGTTTTGCGCCCCCGCGCCACCCGCTTCTTCTGGGGCTTCCTGAGCTGCAGGTCTTTGTCCTTGGGCGAGCCCAGCCGGCACTTGTGGTCCTTCATGTACTTGTGGCGCGTGAAGCCCTTGCTGCAGGTGGGGCAGCGATATTTGTAGTTGCCGGTGTGCGAGCGCTGATGCTCTATCATGTGGGCTCGTCGGCTGAAGGACTTGTTACAGTACTGGCACTTGTGGATCTTCATCCCTGCGCACAGCATCAGAGCAGAGAGAGAGACGGGGAGAGAGAGAGAGAGAGAGCTCAGTTAGAGACCCTGTGTCCTAACGCAGATCTTCAGGAGAACCTGCGCCGCGCCGAGGGGACGCGTGACAGCTTCATCTCCTCTTCCAGGGAAGTGTTCCCTGAGAAAGGCATGAAACTGCCACCTCCTCAGCTGAGAAACCCCACTCTTTTTCAGTTTGCTCATTAAAACAAACTGAAAACCTGACAAAGACATTGTACCAGGCACATTTGCAAGAAAAGGATGAGCAGCTACACCTTGAACGTCTGTGTTTCAGAAGGGCTAAACCCAAAAGGTTTTGCCTTAGATAAGTGGATTAAAGAATCACCAGAAAAACAATGTCAGGTGATTGTGCTGAAAATGCAAAGCACTGTTTAACTCTGGTTTGTTTTTTTTTTTCCAAGTGAATTTGGTAAGTAAAAAAAGTTTCACTTTGCTTTTTTTCTCCCAGGTATGGGGATCTACAGTCTGAAACAAACCATCCACTGCACTGTCAGCACAGTCCCATCTGATCGCGCTCCGCAGGGCTTTGGACATGACAGGCACGAGAAAAGCCTTTCAGTTCTACCCCACGAGACAAAAGTCTGAACCTTCCCTAGGGCATGGGAATAAATTATTTGTCTTTATTAGGAGTGGAAGCATCAGTTTCAGAACACAGATAGAAGGGAATCAAATCCCAAAAGATCTCCTACTGAATGGGAGATGGTGTTGGGGAAGAGCAGGCAGAGCACTCTAGATATTCATTTCATAGCAAACACACCAAGTAATCCAGCTCTGCTTCTGTGTTTCACCAGCAGGCCCTGCCTACAGATTTATATTGCCTTAGAAAACAGCCCAAAGCTTTGACAGAGCTCTGAGTACAAGCTCACTTACACAGGCCTGCAGCGACAGGGATTTTTTTAAAAAAAAATAAAACTAATAAATGATAGTAAGAATTTAGGCCTGTATCTGGAAAACACCGTACCACACACCGTGGAAAATTCTCCCACAGAAAATTCCATGGGAGCTGTGTCTGCTGACCAGTGGGTGGGGGGACACAGCAGGGAAAGCACCTGCAAGCGACATCCTACGCTTACAGGGGTATAACACAGAAGCACTTTCACAGTTTGCTGTCTCTTGTTTCTCAGGCTCACTCCTTCTCTAACAGGCTCCTGCAGCACCCCAGCAAATCCCAGCCTGGGCAGAGCCACGCTTACCTGAATGGGACAGTATGTGAGCCTTCAGCTTGTCAGGCCTGTTGAACTCTTTATTGCAGCCCGTGTGGCTTCTGTAAGAACAACAAACGCTGGTGAGCAGCGTGAATTGGCGGAGGATCAATGTATAAAGAGATCTCGGACTATAAAAACATGTACAACCCTTCTGAGCCGCACCCAGACGGGTCCCTCGGTGCAGTCTCAGTAGGAGCTCTGCTATTTCAGCCCTTCTGGAGAGGGGCAAGGAAGAAACAGGCTGCTACAGGGACACACACACTGTGTCTCTCACCATGAATGCTCCTAAAACCAGCAGGTTCACGATCCCAGCTGGAGATGGAAGTGTTTTGGAGGGAGCTACAAGGTGGTAGGAGCAGGGAGAAGTCAGTGGCTACCTCAGAAGGCCCACGGCTGTGCCATGGATCTGGGGATGCACCTTCTAAACCTGAGTTTCTCTGGCTTGTACATTAGCTTCCACGTTGGCAAAGGGCTTTTCAAGATAGGGCAGTTGGGGAAAGCCCATCATTCGGGCAAGCCTGCAGTTTGTGGTCAAATACTCCTCCTTCTCTTCCCCAGTGCCTCACAGGTGCAACCCCACCCTGGCCTCCGAGCAGGCAGGCATCATTTCACAAGGCTCAACGAACTGAGATGAAACAATGTGGCCCGCAGGAAGTCGGTGACAAAAAAAATGGGACTTCTGGGTTCCCAGTTCAACAGCACGTGACCTTCTTGCCTCCCCAAGAAGCAACGGATTGGCAGATGCCACACAGGTACCCTAAGGTACGTGCAAGAGATGTTTGTCCTATCCCAACCCCACTGAGCCACGCCACCACGCTGGAGGCACACTACGTACGAGAAGGGACATTTGTATTTCTTAAAAGGCTCATGGATCAGCATATGTCGCTTGAGTTTGTCTTTCCGATTGAAAGCTGCGTCACACACCGAGCACTTAAAGGGTTTTTCACCTGGATTAAAAGAAAAAAAAAAAGAACAAAAAGAAGACCATGAATCAGGGAAAAGTCTAGTCACACAGAGCTGCTCTAGTCACATACAGGGTTCAGTACGGCAGCTGTGCCACTCGGCTTCTCTGTAAACTTCTCCAAGCTTCCCTGCCCTGCCTGATGGATCAATGGATGGGTACAACCCCCACTGTGCACTGCTGCCTCTCTCCAGGGCCAGCTTCCTTGGCTTCTGCAGCCACAAGCATTGGGGAAGCCACCTCTGTGTCCAGCTTCTAGCTGGTGCAGAACCCAAACCACACACCTCCTGAATTCGCGTTACTAGAAAGGATATATATACAGGCAACTCCATCACTCTGGTTAGCAGGAAAAGAGCCAGGACACTACAGGGGACAGCACGGATGGGATAAAGGGACGACGAGCACTGCGGTGCCAGGGGAGCCCGTACCCGAGTGGATGTGGGCGTGCAGCTTGAGGTAGTGCTCCCGGCGAAAGAACTTCTTGCAGATCTGGCACTTGAACTTGCTGCCCCCGCCGTGCGTGGGGATGTGGCGGCGCAGGTACCTCTCGCAGGGGAACACCTGTAAAAGCAGAAAAACAAGGCTTAAGAGCCAGCAGCACACAAGGGTTGAGGCTGCATGGGCACGGGAGGTGTGGCCTGTATAGAAAGCATAAGAAGCTGCAATGGTGACTGCTTTTTCAGAACGGACACACTGAGAAAACCTTCCATTTTGTACAAGGAAAATATAGATAAATCTGTCATGGGTTAGGGCTGGGTTTTAGCTCAAACCCAGGACATTGCTTTAAAAAACAAACAAACAGAAAAGCAAACAACAAAACCACCAAACCCCTTATCCTTAAGAAACACACAGGCTGAAACCTTGCTGCTAAGTTTTGTAACGCCACAGCGCTGAGGACCAGCCCCCCAGAGCGATGACCAGTCTCTCACCGGAACCAGCAGTAGGACGGGCTGGGCAAGGACCCCCAGTAGTTATTACCTTCCCACGGTGTTAACTCCAGTTTGTGCTCCCCAGTAATCTGTTACCCAACGTTGCCATTCATGGTCTTTATAATAAAGCCAGTACAAGTGGTTCCTTTGGCTAAGGAGGATACTGGAAATATCCAAGCTAAGTGGAATTCCTAGTGAGGATGCTGCAAGCACCCATCTGAAAGGAGGACAGGAGAGCCAGGCATTCTGGCACCCAGGACTGCTGCTCTCACATCTCCACAAAACAGCAATATTAGTAAGGATACAAACAGTAAAAAAAAAAAAGCTGCTGCAGATACTAGGCTTTCAAAGCCCTGTGCTGCATGCTGAAAGTCCCACTCAGAAGGATGCCCAAAAGGGTACTTGGTGGGAGTAAGTGAAGACAGGTAGTGAGAGGGTTACTAACCATGGCAGGAGTGTGTTTCCCCTTCCTGAGCTACCTCAGTACAGAGCGGTCACTCCTTTGAGATTGTCCCTGCCTTCACTGCAGGGTTTTCCTTTCCTTTGCTACAAATAGAGGAGCAAGGGTCCGAATTTTAGTCTGGATTTCCAAAAAATTATTTACTGTAATTCAAACCCCACAAAATTCTGCCCCTCAAACCCCCTCAGGGGCTGTGCTGAAGAGAGTATTTCCAGCCAAAACCCACCCGGGCATCATTCCAGTCCCAGTCACATCACTCGGACAGGTTTCTCTTTGCCAGGGACATAGAGCACTCATCCAAAAAACAGGAACGAGGAGGAACCTAGAGATTTCTGTTGCAAGAGGAGATGAGGACAGCAGTGGAGGTGTACAAGCTCCCGCAGGACGCAGGGCTTTCCATGCCCAACCCCTGCAGGCACAGGTAGCCAGGCACGGTGGGTCAAAGGCCCTGCCACCACTCTAAGACTTCCCAAAACCAGCCTTGCTCCTCCTGGTACACTTGCTTTTAAGAAATAAGGGCAGCAGCCTGGTGTGCAGTCCTGCGCCACTGTGGAAATTTGCTGACAAATTCTGTTCAGCAAAAATGACCCTGGGAGAAAAGCCAGCACTTGCGGGGAGGAACGTACCCTGCGCGAGAGGCCAGCGAGGTGGAGGCCAGGGGTGCAAACCCCCCCATCTCGCACCTCGCGAGCTTGCCAGTCCAAACTGAGGTAGGAAGGGAGAGGAAAGGGAGCCGAGGGATCCCGTCCCCCTCAGGACCCCAGCTATGTGTTCAGGATGAGCTCGGGCAGCATCACCCACCCACCTTCTGGCAGTGAGGGCAGGGGAAGTTGTGTGTCGCTGTCTGCAGATGGTGCTCCAGGGCTTCCGGGGTGGAGTATTTATTTACACACTTCACACATCTGAAAGTGGAGAGAAAAGATCATGAATGAGGTTATTGCCAGCAAACCCTGCACCGTGGGGCAGACCCCAGGCAGAACCACCCAGCCCATTCAGCAGCCACCTTCCCTTTTTCTTTTTTTGTAAGGAGGGTTTGGTACAGACAATACCAGCCCCCCAGGTGCTCTGAAACCTCAGCAACCCACTTAGAGAGATGACACTCACACTTCGCATCCTTCACCAGGGGGTGATGCTGGAAAACTGGGTGGTGAAGCCTTTAAACTGTTAATGCCTTTCCACACAGACTCCCATGAGAGCACTCACACCTGAGCACATATTCCACGTTGCTTCCTTGTAGACACAGACCCTAAGTAATGAGCTCACCTTACTTAAAACACCTCCTTCTGTCTTTACCGCATGAAGACAGCAGCTCCCAGTGAAGGAGTCGAGAGGAGGGCACAAAGTGACAGCAGTGTTACCCATGGCTGGGGCAACACGCTTCCACAGGGGGGCTGCGGCATCTAACAAAGCTTTGGCTCGTGCCACCACCTCTCCAAAACCACCTGGGCCCTCTCCACCTCACTCACCTGTTCTCACGTATCCCAGCAGTATTTCTGCTGGAGATCTCTGCCACAGCTGACTGGGAAGAGGCAACAGGGACAGACCTCACCAGCAGTGAGTGCAGAGGCATTCACATCACGTATCTGCTGTGAAAGCCTTTCTCCTTAGATTGGACTAAAACCTCCTCAAACATGAGCAGGGCTCTGATCTCAACGATCCCCACCAGCGCGCTGTAGGATGAAGCTCGGCAGTGCAAAGATAACTAGAAATCATGGTCTGTGCAAGAAGTAGTAGATATTTATTCCGCGAAGTTCCTCCTTCAGTACCTTCTTGGCTTCCTACTCTTCCTGTATGCCTCCGCGGGCATTTCAAAAGCTCCAGGGAGCTCTCTGTGGAACTCCTCACCCTTTCTCTCTACACTAGTAGAAAGGCAACAGGCCCTTTCACAGCAAAGGGACAGGAGATTTTTTTCTGGACGCGGCTTCTACAACCTACACTCCCTTTACTGCAGATGTTTAAGAATCACAGAAAATAGGCTGGGAAGAGGCGTCCCTGGGTCTCTGACCCAGCCCAGCACAGGTTTAGCTGTGCCCACCTCACTCCTGACTGGTGATAAGAAGAACGTGCAGTGATGGCATCTTCCCATGCAACTGATCCCAGCCTTCCACTGTCTTTCTAAAAGATTCCTTGCATTCAATGTGCTTGGACCCAGCAGCCCAGCGGAGGGGCCACCCCATCTGCCACCTCGGTGCCCAAAAGAACCACAGCCACTGAACACACGGCCCCTTCTTCCCTCTCATATCCCCATCACTCTCAGCCAAACACACGCTGCACCCACTCACTCCTACAAGCCTTGTGAGCACCGATTTCTACTGTACTTGTACACGGCCACGTCCTTCTTGGGGCTGTGCTGGGGCAGCAGGCTGTGGGAATACTGGTGGACGCCCAGCTCGTACAGGGAAGGGAAGTCCTTGCTGCAGAGGTGGCAGCGATAACTCAGCTCCTCCTGGTGGCTCTTGATGTGCTCAAGGAAGGACTCCAGCTTCTGGAAGGTCTGAGCACAGGTCTTCACCACACATTTGTACACCTGCGAGAAGAAGGGAGAGCAACTGGAGAGGCACGCCATGGAAACAAAGAGGGAAAATCCTCTGCCAATAGGGAGAGTAGCCTTCCTCTTAGGAAATTGTTGCCACTGGGTATTTAGAGAAAGACATCGCCACCCCTTCACCCACTGTGCTGGAGAACAGCTGAGCTGATGTTATGAACAAAGGCGCTCTCAGGCAGGGCGCAGCAGCGAAGCCCTGCCCTGCACTGCAGCAGGACACGATGTGGTGGGAAAATATCCCCTTTCTCTGCTGCCTTCTTCAGAGCAAGGGGCTTTGTACAGAACAGCACAGAGCAGCTCAGCATCAAGATGTGGCTGACAGCTCCAGGTGAGACAACGGCAGAACCTGCTGGGATGTGAACACTCTGCAAACACAGATTGTCTGGGTGCCCCTCTATAAAAGCAAAGTGGGAGAAAAGGGTGTTGCTGTCAATGCCTGAAACTACTCGAGTGGCTGAGACCACAACATCCCAGTGATGACTGTCCCACAACCTGAGAGCTTCCACTTGCACTGGAACCTCTGGACTTTGCTTCTTTGCTTCTTCTCTAGCCACCCAAACCTGCTCAGCAGACTTCTCGCTCAGCAAGGTGGCAGCAGCCAAGCTTTTTAAGGCCATCTAGACCACACAGCTGCAACCCAGCCATGCAGATTGCTGAGCTGCACAGGAAGCACTCACAGCTTTACGGGGCAAGAGGCTCAGAACAGACCCTGGCAGCTGGCACAGCTCATCCCAATCTCGCCACCAACATAGAGCACCCTCTGTCCCTACCTGCTCGTTCTTGTGCTGCGTCATGTGGGATTTGAGCTGGAAATAGGTGTTGAATTTGCTGGGGCAGAACTGGCACTGGTAAGAGCTATCGATCAGGACAACCTGCTTGGCTTCCAGTTTGCCCGCCTCGCTCTCATCCAAGGGGCTCATGTCTTGGGGCGGTGGTGCAGGAGTCCTTGAGGGCTGAGTCAAACCTGGAGAAAGGGAGAGAGGAAGTCACAGCGTGCTGTGAGACAGCTCTCAAAGCTGCTCTGCAAGGACCGTGCAGCCACAACAGACCAGGCTGCGGCTGCCTCCAGGCTCTTCATTCCTTTCAAAGACAGATTCTTGAGGTCAGACAGATCTCACTTTCTAACAGGGTAGTTTTAAATTTGTCTACAGATTAAAAGGGCTCCGACTACTCAGTCTTCTCCTTAATCCATTCTCTTTTTCCAGGGACAAAACTGTCTCCACTAGTGAATCAGAGCCAGATTTACTCCAATCTCTGGCAGGAGACGGGAAGCAAGATCCAGCCAGTAGCTCACAGCCATGATGCCTGCAGAGAGCAGCTTCAGCGGGGCCTTGTCCTAGATGTGACATGGTCACTGCATTCCCTCCCCTCCTACCAGGACTGAGGCCACCAGCAGAAAGGGCATCCAGACACCATCTGCCAGCAAGGAGCTCTTCTCTGTCACGAGTATTTTCAGCTGGCCACTGGGGCCAGATGCAGCCTAGGCTGCACACTGCAAAGAAGCCAGAGCACTGGGCTGTCCTAAACCATCAGCTTGTCTGGCCATTAGACCAGAGCTGTCAAGTGTGGTTCACGCACTGCCAAAGCAGTGGGGCAAAGACACCTCTGCATGCACATACTGGCACAATTTAGAGCCCTGTATCCACCAGTACCTGAATCCGCCACGGCTCGGGGTACGAAATGACACACCTGTCAGCTGGAGTTGAGCAAACGTGACTTGCTTCTCCAGCACACACTGCTAAACCCCACAGGAGGAACACAAACAGCACACACAGCTCCCGTTTCCCCTCCCGCCCTGCACCGAGGCGCAGGAACGTGCAGACTCCTCACATCGCCGCTCTGTCCCGCGCACGTGCCATCCCCAGGCAGCAAACCTGTGTTCTCCTCATCCTCTGGCTGGTTGGGATTCAAGGCCATGACCTGCACCGTGATGGAGTTGCGGGAGATAGTGCACCCCAGCCCTGGAGGCCACACTTTATGGGTTTGCATGTGTTTCTTCACGTTGGACTTCTGGGCAAAGGCTCGACCACACACAATGCACTGGAAGGGCTTCTCACCTGTGTGACTGAAGGCAGAAGGCACCGTGTCAGCAGCCGGCAGAGAGAGGAGGGAAGCTCCAGGAAACAAGCCTTGCGCACAGACAAAACACTCACGGTCTGGGGGTGACAAGGGATCAAATAAAGAAGCGTGAGAGGAAAAGAGCTTTGCAGCAACGTCAGAGCCTTCGCTGTCAGGGACTCCACACAGACTTTGGAGACACCATCACCTTCTCAGCGGTACAACCCTCTTCTTTCCTGTCATCCCTCCCTCCCCTGCACACACATCTCTTCTAATTTGCTCCCTCCTGTCCACAGCAAAAAGGTCTTTCTACCCTGCCCTTCTGCTTCAGGAGAAAGAGTGGACTCTAACACATGGAATATGTCATGCAAAGGGTCCAGGCTGGGAAGAGGAGCAAAATGACCTCTTGTTCCTTCTCACCTATCCTGAGTCTTGCAGACTCTGCCAGGGGAAACTGAAGATTCAGCTGCCTCCTGCCACAGAAAAGCTCTCCTGTAAGAGCTCCCTATATAGACACTGAGCTTGGCTTATGGTTTGCTAACACCAGCAAACACGAAGGCTCCAGCCTGCTAGGAAGGGAGAGCAAAGAAAAGGGCAGAGGCAAGCAGTGGAGACAGTGCTACACTCCAGTGATCAGGGGACAACAGATTTGGTTTTCAAAGTCTCAACAGCTAGAAAAACAAGTCTCTAGTATCAAACTCATAATCAGCAAGATTACATCCACGATGCAGCCTTCACCTCAGACACTGGGGAGAAGGTGTCCTGGAGTGAGGGGGTTGAAAGATCACCTCCCAGCGCAGTGCAGAGTCTGGGAGGTGACAAATACAAGGTCTACGAGACTGTGCAAAGTCCCTCAGTGAAGCTGTGCCCACCTCCCGCCCGGGCACCCTCTTGGGTCTGGGTTAGCAGCGCCGTTACCTTCTGATGTGCTGCTGCAGGTCGAAGTTCTTGGTAAAGGCCTTGTCACAGTAAGTGCATTTCAGCTTGGGAGACTTGAGTTTGCCTGAAAGAGCAAAAGCGCCCATGGGAATGAGATCGTGTGGCACTGCAGGGCCCTCACCCCAAGACACATCTATTCAGGACTGAAAATAAAGCGCTTGTCAAAGTGTAAGATCTGCCTGGCCAGACTGGAGAGAGGTTATGGGCACAAACATATATTTAACACAGCCTGAGCTAACTCTAGAAGTACTTAGTAGTAGTGGAGGGGGCAGGGCATCCCCTGCAGGCATTAACCACTCCAGGGACCCTTCCAGCTGTGCTACAAAGCACCTACTCTAAGGGCACATTGGGCATTGGGAAGACACACAGGATTAGTGAGAGGAAGGGCCCCAGTTCTCTCTCCTATGAACTCACCAAGGTCAGCCATCAGCACATGCATGTTTCTCCCCTCCAGAAGATCAGTCAGTCACATCTTCTATCTACTACAATGGGCTATAAACCAAGGGAAAACAGCAGAACCATGAGGCTGCTCTAGGAAATTCTGGACTGAAAGCTGCAGCCTGCATGATCATTCACACCTCTGCAAATAGCATTAAACCCTAGCATCTGCCACTCCAGAGGCCCGACCTTCCTGGGGAGGAAGGCCATGTGGCTTTTCTCCACCTCACGCCTAGGACCTGCCCTGTCCTTCAGTTAGGTGCCCTTGCATCACACCAGGAAAGGGCAGGATCTGACCCTCCACCCTCCTGTAATGGGGCACGCCCCTGCCCTGCCTCACCTGGGCTGGGTTTCAATGCCCCTGAAGAAAACCCGAGGCAGGAAGGGAACCCTGGCCCTTGGGAAGAGAGTCTTCAGGGCCAGGCCACATCTTGTGGCTGGACAATCTTCCTTGGGTTAAACCAAACCAAGCTCCAACACCTTACTTTGCAGGATCTCCCATTTTGGGTGTGATCCAGTAAGCACATAGCTGCAGAGATTTAACACTGCCCATGCAGTAGCACAGTGACAGTCTTTTCACGTGTACTCAGAGGTGACAGACAAGAAGCACATCCACACTTTCACCATCTTGACAGCTTCATGCAGAGCATCGTGTTCCTCATCCAGAGCTACGTGGCAGCCAAAGTCCCCCCACAGGGCCTGGAGAGCCCACGGCAAATGCCCTAAGGACACTCACCTTCCTGCAGCCCGCTCTCGTTTTTGCAGCGTCGACTTTTGGCAGCGGCAGTGGAGTCAAAACCAACCACGCTGCCTCCTCCCGCGCTGCTCAAAGGTGTGGGAGCGCTGGTGCTCTTGGATTTGAAGCCTTGTTTCCCAGGGCTGTACACAGGAGGAGAAGGGTACACGGGACTCTGCACACACTGGCTTGGTACCTGCAAGAGTGCAAGTTTTCAGCGGCAAGAGGTTTGGTAACACAGAATTAATACTGTGCCCTAACTTCCATCTCCAGCAACACTTGTGACACCAGGTTATTAGTCTGGCTGGGTTTTCTGTCTCCTGCCAAACTGGATCAAATTCCTGGTTCACCAGTCCAACAGTGCATCTCCAAAATGAACACCCTGCACAGCGTGAAACTCCTCTGCTGAACATTACAAAGCGCCCAGAAGTTATTACAGCAGGAACAGGACAATAAAGAAACACTCTGAAGGAAACATCTAGTCCCTCACCTATGTGTTATGCCTAGACCAGTTTCTTATCCCTCGGGAGCAGGTTACCAGAACAATCCCCACTGACCCTGCGGGTTCACACCAGCCCTGAGGACAGGGATCTCTGGTCCCTGCTGCCTGCCCTGGCAGGACTGCAGAAGGGAAGGAAAGCACAGGAAAACTCCAGGTGGTAAAGCACCGCTCTTTACATCAGCACCAATATTAGAAAAGGATGCTCAGAGAAAAAGACAGAGGCATCAGTCTGGGGTGATACAGTTTGAGCATGTTTCTGTCGCCCACCCTGATAGATTAACACAGACCACGACCTATCCAGCATCCCTGTCTATTTCTAACCACTGGCACTTCCAGATCAAATGCCAGCTACAAAGATAAGGCTGACAAACCTCTGTCACACCCAGCAGCTTCTGCTGCGAACGGTAATGCTAATGGAGAGGCTGTGAACAGCTGACCCAATGGTAAATCCACCCCTGCCTATGCCTCTCTTTAGGAAAAGTTGCCTTGTCAAGCTCACTGACACTTAGATTGAATTTCTCCTCTTCACTTAAACGTGCCGTGCACAGCACAGTGCTCTGAACAGCTGAAGGTATCACTCAACCACAGCACATGTTCAGGACTCCTAAGCCTGTGCAGCCTCCATCCCTCTTAACTGTTTATCTTGTTCTCAGAATCCTCATCGTCTTGCTGCCGTCCTTCTACTCAGCACCTTCTCCCAGAGGAATAATCATCGTCAAAATAACTGAACACAACTTCCCAGACTCTACTCCTGCATTTCTAATCCAGCTCATACCCAGGCAGCCTTGTTTGGTAGAAGAGACCCAGCAGGACGGAGCCTCGGCAGACAACCCGGCCTTACCTCCATGGGCGGGTAGGGCTGCATCCCCAGCGTTTGGATCTCCACCGTGCTGGTTGCCGCCAGAGGAGCAGGAGCACTGTAAACCTCGACCACGCCGCTGCTGCCGGCGCTGGGCTGCCCCGGAGC